AAACGTCCCACGAGACGAAAAAAGATATTTCTCGTAAATAATTATTATACTAAGACGAAAAGAAATTCTCTTAAAACAAGGCGACGTTTTGGACCCAAATATTGGGATAATAATTATTTTGGGTCTCTGCTCTTAATCGATTATCGATTATCCATGATATTTTCAATGTCGTTTCCTCGTTCAATAAGTGAGTGTGAATAGTTTTTATTCGCACATCCTTCTACAAGCAAACAGTTGTAAACTAATAAATAACAACACAAACAATAATAAATAATAATAATAATAATAACAATAACAAAATTTCAAACAACTATCTGTAGCATGTGAAAAGTTTGTTCGACCGATCACAGGATGGTATTGTCTAGAAATTTTTGTAGAGAATGAGTTCAGCCCAATAAAAAATTTCCAAACAATGCCACTATGTAACTGGTCGTCTTCACGTGCTGGAAAATCTCGCTTGCGTGTTTCTCTTCGGTTCTTGCAATCGGGTGCGTGTGTATGGCCGAGTTCTTAGATTTTTGTAATTTATTTTGTGATTTCGTAGAGTGAACATGAGCGGTAAAATAGCAAGATTAAGTAAACATTTACATATGTATTAAGGAACTAATAGACAGGTTAAATAGAGTTTGATATATAATTGAACATGTATTTTATAGAGTTGTTGTCCTTTTGCACACATGTTTACTTGCCGCCGAACAACGTAAAACGAAAATCGCCAAACGATAAACTAGTATGTAGCGAAACGAGTTGCAACCGATTGCTGTGTTCTGTTGCCTGTCTGTGGCTCTTTTCACTGTATTAAGCAGCCCAAAATGTCACCTTTGAAATGACAATAAACCAACTAGATATTAAGAGTGTCCTCATATCCAAAACTATTAAAAGTTTTAGAAAACTTTCACCGGAGTTCTCTTACCCCAAAAAACTTGCAAAGTAGGGAAATTGAGAGAGCAAAACGTGATAGAGAGCTGCAAATTTCTGCTGGAAAAATTTTTACTAGCGAAAACTTGCAAGTAATAAAATCAGCTCATCACAAACATATGTTTGTAAATAAACGAAAGAAAATACGGTATTTTTCAATTATTTATTGCAAATTTTATTAGTAATGCAGTATAGGTACAATGAAAAAGAGAGTAAAGTTATTAAGCACAAAATTGGTTGAGTTTATTTTTAGTTAATTTACTATTAATCTCCAATTTGTTTACTTAAGTGTGTGCTGACTATGGTTGCCATATAATTTTCCTTTAAATATACCAAAATAGATTAAAATGTAGCATGCTGAGATGTGTTTTTTGCTGAAGTTGTCAGCTTTGGTAGGTTGATTGTTGAAATAAAAATTTTATAATTTTAAAGCTACAATTGTAGCTATATCTATTACATTTTTTTGGATCAATGATGGGTGTTTGGAGGATATTCTCATATTTTTAAATGCGTCAAATAACTTATTCATTCCGATATAATTAAAAAGTACTTTAACGGTTTTTCTTAACCAAAACTATTCAATTGCATAAAATACCGAATCGGGGAAAATGTACCAAGCAGAAAATAAATTGCCAAATGAACCACCAGTGGCAACTGTGGAAGTGATCAGCTGTTGCGAAGGTGGCAAGTTTTTGCAAAATTTGCGTTCTCGTACTTCTGTGGATATTTTGTCTCTTTGAGAGCGAATGCTGCTAAATTGTCAGAACTTTTGCTGCTGGATAATTTTGTCCGCTCAATACGAGTACACACCTATTACCAGAGTTATCTGAATATATCGTCATCTATTGGCAAAATCTGTATGAACTATTTCGGCTACTCAATACTAGTTATTATTGAAATAATGCGTATGTACATAAATAAGTATATGAACTACATAAATCCCATTGATAGAGGCATTCTTCGTTTCACCTAAGCCTTCTGCGTAGTACAAATATTTATAACAGGAATTTCCTTTGTCGCAGACACACAACACAAGTTAAGTATGTATTCAATTGTTAGTTTAATTTTTGAAAAACTCACATTTGTGTATAAATAAATCTTTTAGGCGTTATTGGGTTTTTATTTTTTAGTTTATTGATTTGCGTAATTGTCCTTTTGTTTGTGTTGACAGTGGCGGCGATGATGACGACGAAGTACGTACAATAACATATAAATACATTTATGCATAGCGCCGAGCAGACAACAAAGGTCAGAACAGGTCCCAATGAAAGGGCGTCGTCCTTGTTGTGATGCATAAAGTATACGGGTTTACTTAGTACCGATTACAGAAATTTTGTGAGCGGTTAAATAATTACTCATTCAAGATCTACTGAGAAAATCACCAAGACTGGTGCTCCATAAGGTTTGTCTCCCATATAGGGCAACCGCCTTTTCTGATGCTCAGACCCCGGGATTGATTTTTTTTTGTTTTTTGGTTCTTATTAACATTTCTTAATAGAACTTTAACCCAACAAATACCCTGGAAGGTCATGTCCATTTTGCAAATTTTTTTCTACAGTCGGTCGCTGTTGTTGAGTGGTTAGAGGTATGCTTAATATTAAGTTCAGACAGGAATCGAGTTGAGTCAATTAACATTTTAATTGAGCTACCGCTTTTTGGTGTTCACACACCGTTCGTTTCACAGTATCTTTATTTTACAGTACAGTATTTTTTAAACAGGTTTTCAATAAAATAAAGGAATTCCTGTCTTCCTGTTTTACACCCAGCGACAAACTGATACGATCTTTCCGATACGATTTTGGCAATATGAATCCAAATTTCTATCTTAGTACAAAAACTGTGTTCTATGGAGCTACTGGTAATCGGTACAGTTATTAAATTTTTACACAACATAGAAGACCAGGTAGAGGTCATTTCTGCATACTTAATTCGATTTGGTATTATTGCAGATTATGACACTATTGAAGTAAATGAGCGATATATAAGTTTCTTTTGAGTAAAAATTAAATTATTGCAGGAAAACAAACTAAAGTATAAAAACTGTAAACTTTTGCCCAAGCCCTGAGGTTTTTGTGGCAAATCCATACCACTGATTGTTCAGATATATGTTTTTGCTATATAACTTATTTATATAGGCAGCTAAAGCCATACAATTCTATGACCAGTTTACTTTTCGATCATACAGGGCCTATTGAGGACCACTGATTGTTCAGTTAAGATTTTTTGTTATATAACTTCTCAATCTTAGTTGTTAAGGTGCAAAAGCTTTTTCCTCTATTTGCTTATCATAAATAAAAAATAAAATGTTGAAGTTCAATTTTCTGCTGCTCATGAAGGGTAATGAAGCCTTCGCCATGACGTCTTCGGCATAGCCGAAGTCAGGGCTGCCCTTACTTACTTTTTCCTATTCAAAATGCGAAGTGAAATTTTCTGTAGTCAATACCTACGTAAGCATTTTATGCGAGTGTATTAAAATACACTTATGGTGTTTTCGTTTCTCTTTTCGTGTTCGATTCTAAAATAAAGGCAAACGGTGAGACAGTTGTGTGTGTTCCTTTCTTAAAATGTCACACTCTTGTAAGGCACATTCTCTGCCTTTTGTCAGAAGAGATGGTTGCCCTGAAACATGCCTTTTTACAGGGTTGAGTGTAACATCGAACACATTTTGCTCCGTTGAATGGCAACATTTTTTGGAAGAAACGAAATCACCATTAGACAACTAAGAGTTCTTTGAAAAACAGGCACAGGCGATTTGATGACTTTCGAAATAACGAATTTATACCTTTCTTTATCAATGTTCGATGCATACTTTGAGGCGTTTAAACTTGTTGAAAACTTCACATAAACTCCCTCGCCATCTCCTTAAACTAGATGTTCCTATTTTCATTTTATTTACCAACTACCCTTTATCCGAATACTCGGTTCTTGGCTGCGAAATTTTTAACAGCTTTGACTACGCCTGCAATCGGATCGATAAAGTCGTCTCGCCATTCCCCATGCTTATGTCCTACATACATACATATGTACATTTGATTTTGAGTTGAAAAGAAAAATCAAAGCAGCCTTGGCTTCGCTACCTTACGTACAAGTTAGGGTGTCTCATGCGGGCGCTGAGTCGTTTTTTTGGGGGATGTGGACGTAGTATGTTAGTCTGCTGCGAAATCCAGGATAGATAGGGTGTGGCAGAGCAGCCAACGCAGCAGCAGCTGAGGCAGTGTTAGTAGTACACATAGTTCGGGTTGTTGTTGTACAATGCAACGCACAGAAAGCAAACGACGGGGTTGTCGTTCGAGACTGCCGCAGCAAATTTGCTGTTAAGCTGAGTTGGGGTACCGGAGAACTTTAGACGCCAACAGCCATACGGACAAAGGCTTAGTAAACTTCTACAGCACATACGCCCCGTAGAACGCACCAGAGTGCCAGAACCATCACTGAACGCCACTGTCACCATTCATTGCACTTCGGTTGCAATTGTAATTCGCTGACAGTGTACCACTTCGTTTCCATGTATGTATGTATGTATGCATGTCAGAGTGTGTGCAGGTTTTGTAAGTAATAAGGTGCGTGGGTTGAATGGACGCTTGTGCCGTGCCGGTGCTGCTGCAAAACGTTTGCAAAACTTGAATGATGGAATAGAAATGGGATTGTTCCTGCAGCAACGTTCAACGTTTGTCCGCTCGTCCAGGGTTTTGCCCGGTGAAGCGTTGTCGATATGTACGAATAATTACATTCGTACGACGTTGTACGACGAGTATATAACACAAATACTGTTATGTTGTATATCGACAACTGAAGTACTCATCCTTAAGTTTGGGTCTGTCTAGACGCGTGTAGATGGCGTTTTGTTATGGGGAAATGACGGAGTTGGTCATAGCGGCAGGGTTGAGAAGTTCAGCAGACAGGCAAGAAACAAAAAAAACAATTCAGTTAGTGGTTTGAGAGTAGACACGTGATGCCAAAGAACTTGAAGACGTTCACACGATGACCCTGCACTCTCACTAGTTTTGCAAATGTTAAGAGATGTTAAAAAATTGTCCACCGACACTTTATTGAACATTTGTTCCTTTTTTCATACTACTTAGGCTATCTTTTGACCAGAGTGGAGGGTAAAATTGGTTCGCCGGAAAAACCACTTTCGGACTTGGGTTTAATTTCATATCGCTCCTACTGGAAAGATGTGCTTTTGGACTATCTCTGTAGCCGAACCGGTAGTGCTTTGAGCATCAAGGATGTGTCCCAGGTAATACTTACATTAGCGCGGAGTAATTTGTTCGGCGCAAAATTTTCGATGAAAGTATATAGCAAATTCAAATTCTACGATTAATTCTAAGCAAAAATAGCGAACAAATAATCTACCAAAAATGACGTTTGACCCTCCCAATTTTCAAAAGAAAAAGCAGTATATTGTAACTTTTTTGTTCGAAATTTTTTTTTCTTTTATTTTTTTAATTTTTTTTCTCGGTCTTAAATATGAAGAAAACACACAAATATGTAAATGCAAAATTATTTTCCTACATAAAAAATTATAATACACTGATTTTTTTTTTTTTTAATTGGGAGAGTCAAAAGCCATTTTTGATATATAGTTTGTTCACCATTTTTGCTTAGATTCGAACGTAGAATTCGAGTTTGCAATACACTTTTATCGAAATTAAATTACTCCGCCCTAACGTAGATATATATGTACATATTTTTAAATATTTTTTCTTCATTTGTGATCCAAACTGCATCTCTTACGTAAAATTTGTCTGCATATTATCTACAGGAAACGGCTATATATTCATATGACATCGTTAGCACCTTGCAGGCTTTGGGCATGATGAAATACTGGAAAGGCAAACACATTGTACTTAAAAAACAAGTAAGTATAACTTTTCATTCCAAGTTAAGTAAAATAATGCAGTTAAATTAAGATCATCCGAAGTCTTTTTATGGTGGCAAATTCTTTCTGAATATTGTGAGCCTAGTCGCAGGGAATAAAAAACATCACTAGCAGGACTGAGGGGGTGGTTGAACTGTCGGGAAGTCAGCCCGGCGCTCCAACTCCGAACGACAGCCATTTTACGACCTCAATAAAACTATGCCTTAACGTTGCTGTTTAGCTGATTGACTCGTTTTTTTCCAAAGCAGTTTCCGCCGGTTTTTTCCTTTGATAACTATAGGTGTTTTTTTTTTTTAGAAATCTTTAACTTTTCGAATATCGAATAAACCGAATTTTTTTTTATCGACCAAACCGGGTTTTTTTCATTTCAGTCAAATCTTGACGTCTCAATAAAAGTTATGAGTTTTTCGTAGTTTTCATGGCATTTTTAAGTTTAAGCGAAAGTCTTAAAGAGCTTTAAAATTATATCCTAGGTTATTTGGGGATGAACAGTATATCATATTTGATTACAATAAATTAATGTTTGGCACTTAAAAGTTTTCTAAGTGTTTGGCCGAGCTTCTCCTCCAATTCGGGTTCTGCTTCTTGATGTTGTGACACAAAAGCAGAGATCTACACCTTTACTCCACCTCCGTAGAAACTTTTTTATGGCAGAAGTACACTCGCGAGGTTTGCAATTGTCTGCCGAGGCGCGCCCGCTGTTTGAGTAAACTTTTTTTGTTGTTGCAGGGACCATAAATTGAACCATGGGTCTCCCGAGTGGCAGTAAGCACATCTAGGTTCTCGACTACGGCGCACAGTAGTCAAAACAAAGCCAAGTGGCTAAGTCACTTCTGTTGTTGTCCCTTCCATTCCGGCCGCATAAGTTTCGTCTTGCTGCAAGTGGTGAGACTAGCCAATCTATCACTTGCTAGTTTAAAAGATATAACCCTTAGAATGAGCTTGCTGATAGCGAGTGGCATGCCTATACCTTTCGAGGATTTCGAAAGTGGAACGGATGTGCTCACTCTTGCAAGTTCGTCTTCCTACCGGTTGCCTGGTATGATCAGCCATCTCGTTTAGGTATCTATGGCCATCTGCTACGGTTTTTGAATTGCATGTGACCGAATCAAGGGCTTTGAGTGCCGCCTGGCTGTCTAAGTAGATGAAGATGCTGTTACCTATGACTTCTCCTGTACGTTAGTACTCTAACGTCTCCTGCATTGCAGCAAATTCAGCTTGAAAGACGCTACAGTTGTCGGGTAGGCGAAATGTTGATCTGTTAAAGCTCCCGTGTTGTTGATTTCTTGTTGGGACTTGGCTACCAGACCACGACTCCGTATAGCAAACAAGGCCTAGTAACCACGGTGTATATATAGCCAATGCTCGTAATCTCAATCTCAACCTCAATCTTATGGCCCCATTATGTATGGCAACCGATGGGAAACCATATACTAAAATTCGCATTAGGTATGGCAACTCGATACTGGTAGCGCAATTTTCTGTTTCCCGCTTATGACGATTTTTTTCTTTGTTTACATTGATTTTCAAAAACATTGGAGCAAAGTTGCTGGTAGCCATCGCTACTAGACCAGCAACTAAACACCGGTCGCCATACATAATAGAACCATTAATTATTATCTTAACTTGACGTTGGGTGCTGGACTTTTTAGAACGGTGTATCCCCGGTTATCTTCCCGATAGTAGGTAAGAAAGATTACTCTCTCCCTAAATACTTCAGACCGATAAGTCACCTCTTTCATGCTGAAAGCAATGTAGAAAATTTTCCACCAGGAAATCAGGTCTAATACTATGAAACAGGCACCATTGTATACCGATCAATACGCGTACAGAATGGGAAAATCTACATACATCGCGCTATATAGCCTGAAACGGAAATGCAAAGTGCCTTTGAGTGTAGAGAAGCAGGCTCTGCGCTTTCCTCGACATCCAGGAGGCTTTCGATAACACATCTCATGGGGGCCGTCGATCGGTTACTTGAGAAACGCAAAGTGCTGCCAACTATCCGCAGAAAGATAGCTAGGCTGCTACATATAAGGATTGCTGAAACCGAAGCCGGTGTACAACTTCAAACGAGAAAGGGTTTCCCGCAGGGAGGGGTGCTGTCTTCTCTCCTGTGGAGCTTAGTTGTGCACCAACTCTTGCAGCTACTCACCGAAAAAGGCGTCCGGTTTTGAGGGTACGCGAATGACATAGTGATTATTGCTAGAGGAAAGTTTGTGCTCACTCTCTGCGACATCGTCCAAAGATTACTAAACCTAGCAAACAGGTGGTGTGCTGATGTGGGACTTAATATTAATTCCTCAAAGACAGCCATTGTCTCTTTCATTAGGAAGAGAAATCACATTGGGATGGCGAACTTAGTCTTGGATAGGGTCGAGGTCAATGTCGTCATTCCTGTGGAGGAGTAGTGTAGACACGGCCACCTCCAAGACTACAAGAGCGCTGATGATGTGCAAATGTCTAACTGCCAAATCCTGAGGATGCACCCCAAGGCTTCTGAGATGGATGTACACCATGATACGTTGACAATAGCACTTACTAAGAATAAACGTCTGACGTGTGTTTGCATCACGAGGGCTATGCTAGGGCTAGATATAGTGTTGTCATCAGCTGACGGTACAATAAACCTACTGGCCGCAGTGTATACTCTATTTGTCTACCTTTCTTACTCTTAAGGCCAGGCCACACAGGAAGCGGTTTGTCGCGGCCTAAATGTTTATCTTAACTTTAGTCTTAATGTTATTCTTAATCGTTCCCAAGTACCCCCGTCATCCCCTCCCTTCTTCTGTAGCTTTTTCGTTTCTGAAGGTTTGGAATTAGAGCCCAACGCCTTTTCGTCTCATGGATGTTTGTATTTACACCAACCGAGCGCAAAAAAGTTTCACTTCAAAAATTTGTGACGTGATGGAGCCAAATTCCTTTGGGGTTTGGCTGCCAATATAAAAACCAACGTTGAGGTCCTAAGTTGGAGTGTGAAAGGAAAAACTCTAACCACCCTTGTTTTCAAGATGTCGGCGGTTCCACAATAACCTGAGTCGAGAAAATCAAGTTTTATATTAACTGGTATTGGCTTCACAGCACTCTTCTAAGAATCGGACACCATGCAAAAAACTTCGTTTACAATGTACATATGTATATTAAAAATAGTATAAGCTCGTCTTAGAAACTTGTCTTTATTAATTGTATGCAATATTAAATTTGATGCTGTATAATTTGGAATCTCATTTCTTTATCCTTGTAGGAAGTGCTCGATGAATATGAAAAACGTGTGAATCAAAGAGGAAATTTTCCGAAAATCGATGATAGCTGTCTGCGCTGGAGTCCTTTTGTGCCAACACAAACCAATAACTCTCCATAATAGTAGGCTATAAGTTCACGTACGGAGACGATAGTTATCATCTACGTACACTGAATGCAAATAAGTAGTTTTTTTTTTTTAACTGATGCTTATGCAGTAACGCACAGTGCGTATACTTAACTACGTTGTGTATCTATTTTAAGAATGCACATGCATATGTGTATGTATTTATTTATGGAAATGTGGTGTCAGGTGTAAAAATGATTACTCCCTTGTTGATGGTTTTTTAGTTTTGTTTACTAAATCATATTATTTAAAATAAATGTGAACTTAAATGTAAGCAATAGCACTAGAAATTGCATTATACAACAACATAAGGCCTAAAATATTTATATTGAAGTCTTAAACATTTCATAAAAAATGCGAACAGCACTGGAATTGTCTTTTTTTATACCTGGCATCACTGATAACTATGCTTTATGGCTGCTCGCAGCTTTCAATCAATTACTTGAGCATATACCGAATTCGTCTTTCAAAAACAGTACTCATTTTTTGTATATACTTATGATATTAAATAAATGCTACACATTTAAGATGTTTTGTATAGCTCTTGTGGCAGGTCGAACACACGACTTTGCTTAATACTTTTAACAAAGAGATATTTGTATGTACATACACGATATGTATATAGCTAAATTGAAAATTCTTAATGTAAAATTTTTTCAAAAAAACATTTATAGAATTTATTAAGTATACAAATATATGGCTATTAAATAAATGGTGTAATATCTAACTTTTTATAGAACACATTCTGACATTTTTATTTTAAAGGTATGCTAGAGGATCGGGAATCCGAAAAAAGGTGTTACACATTATGGTTGCAATACTGCTGATTTATGAACATATGTATTTGCCGAAAAGTTGTACCTAAAAGTAGAAAAACGTACCGGAAAAGTTAATATGTAAATTTATTACATACAATTTTTGATGATTGGTGAACTACCTCTTCCTTCAGTACCATATCTACTTTTGGACTTACATCAAACAATATTTTCTATCAAAAATGGCCTTGAAAGGAATTTCTCCGAGCAGTTGAAGCCAAACCTATGTTTTAACTAATGTTTATGCCCCTTTACAAAGGAGGGATGCTATTGGAATTCCTACACTTGAAATTCCTTTGGAAAATAAGAAACAATTACGTTCTTGTACCAAGTTAAGAGGCTGAAGAGTAGGTACAATTCTATATAGTTTTACATCTCTATTTCGCACCACAAGTTCCTCTTCATCTTCTCCTTTAAAATTATTTTTTACTCTCTTATTCTCTCACCTTTGTATTCTATTATTCTTGCTATGCGATGTTTTCTTTTCTTTTCTTTTCTTTTCTTTTCTTTTTTTCACTTTAATTTTATTTACTTTTCCTCTCTATTTGGGCCAAATACTGTTATATCGTGTACATAGGAGCTCATACATTTAACTATCCATTGTATGTGTTTTGATACCCCGTATGGTTGAAGCTAGGTGAATATTCGATAATTTTCATTTATGATTGATCAGACTGCCCAATTGGAATATTGTTAATGGAAATGACAATGCTGATGGCGACATCAGTTAACAATAAAAGCTCTGACGGTAGAACTTCCGCTTCGCTTGGTGATCCAATATTTCATTAGTTTTTACATATTATTACATATATTATATATCCAAACTAATATTTTGCTATAATCAAAGATTTCCATCCAAACAAAGTTACATATGTACATATAGTTACTTGTATATGTGCAGGTACCTAGTACAAATGTTTTCAAATCTTCATAGCTAAGATCTCTCGGCATAACAAAAGAAATTTAGATTCGTCAAGAAGCCACTCTTAAATGCTTCTCAGTCTGTCTGAAAGTGCTTTTGTTTGCAATTTTAAGAATGAACATTAAAGTAAATCACTCACTACTGGCGTATAAACTACCTACAAAATAGTGGGGATTGATAAAGGTTCGCTTCATGTTAACGCGGAGATTTGCGGCTCGCTATATATATGTATGCTGAAACCCGCCAGAAATCATCGTTGTACCGTTAACCGATCATGACGAAATTCGTGTAGGTAGCAATAGCTGATAGTCTTTAAGTGTGATCCGCACAATTCACAAGAAGAAACTCTCTGGCTACTGCACAGCCATCTCTTTTATGTTGCCTCTCTATACCAGGTAGGTTAAAATCTAAAAATTTCCTATATTTTTCCCAGTCTGCATTCCTGGGGTTCCTCATCGGAGGACTTACCGTGACCTCCGCTCCGAGCAGGAATGTGATCAGATCGTTACCCAGGCTGTTGCTTAGAGTGAGGTCCAGGACCTCCTGTCTTACTCTGGTGACAAACGACGGACAATGCCCAACATTGTTTATACAGAAATCTTCGCTTAATATGTGATGTTGATTTCGGGGCTCCCCCACTCCACGTGGTGCGCATTTTCGTCAGATCCGAGGAAGAGGAAGTGAATGCGACACCAGTTGTTGTACTTCTGCTGGGGGTATGGTGTTGTTGTCCCCCGGAAAATATGCAGCAGCGAAGACTTGTTCTAAGGGCCTTCCATTCTGCACTGCTACCAAATCTTGCGTTAAAAACTCTGAAATGCAGAAATAATCAATATCGTTTCTAAGCACTACACATGCTCTGGGCCTCTCTGCGGCGAGGTCCCATATTAACTTATTGTGTGATCCTTTCAGGCAACTTACCTGGCCTCTGTAAGTCCACGGCTCTTGATATACTTATGCAATTCGTCCGTAGAAAACCTGCTAACAATTACAGCTGAGGCTGCAATCGCATGGTGCAAGTTGATCTGGGCTAATTTCAAGGGCGGTGGGTGCCTGATCTTTGCTCGTCCAGGTCCGAGAGCCTTAGGTCGCTCTCGCTTTTCCCGTCCAGCTGAAGCCTTTTAAGATCAAGTCCCTTAAGCAGCTGTTGTGTGGAGGGGATCTGTTCCTGTGGAAGAGCCGCTATGTCTCGCATTATGGTGCCTTGGGGTTCCGAGGGAGGGTTAAGTTGGCCCCCTGGAGCGCCTGAGGACTACGCAGTTGGTGGGGCAGGGGGATCTGCCGCCAGGGCCGTATAATCATATTTTGCGGTGCCTTCATCTTTGCAGTCCACAAGGAGCATACCTGGTCGGAAGTAGACCCCGCAGAAAGCCAGCGGATGCGTCCACCCCTTAAAAACTTCGTCCATAATGATGTCCTGCAGGGTAGTCAGCTCATCTGGCATCAGAGCATCAGAGTAGCTATGAGTTTGTCCATCACCCACCCGCGAAGCCGCTTGATCGACGTGCCTAACCCCGGTTCCCGTCGTGGCTCATCGGCGGCTGCGGTCAGACTGCGCGCCTCTTCGTCGTGCTGCCCGCTCTTCTGCACTTCGGCGGGTGTGGTCTTACTGCGCGATTTTTCATCGTGCCCTGCGATCTTCTGGCTGCGATGTCCGCGGGTGCGGTCTGCTTACGCCATTGCTCATCATCGCTTTTGCTGTCTTCTTTGGGGTTGGTTCTCGCAAGTGCCAGTTTTCGGGCCTCTTCGGGGGTCTTTCCCTGTTCTAGGTACCTCACGTACCGCCTGGAGCCTGATTCGCTAAGACCTAGCCGCTTAAGGTCATCTTGGGCGCCTGGTTGCCGGTGGCTTTGCCGGCATTTCCATATGTCGCTCTTTCTTGTACCTAAATTCTTGCCTTCTCGCGCGTTCTTGGCTTACATTGCGCATTGTTGTTGTTGTCTGCTGTTTTTGTTGTTTTTGTTCTTTATTGTTCACCATCTTGTTCGTATGACTGCGTGCCAGACCTGCCAGACGTAGCGGTCTTATTTTCGACTAAGTAGGCAATTGAACAGTAACGCCCTCTCTCCTCGGCGTGTGATGGCGTGTATTGAAGACTATGGACCCGCTGGAGGTATGAGCAAGTGTAATAGGGTTTATCTTCCCCAGGAAAATCGGCATTAGTTGGGCCGAAAGAGAAACGACCAAAAGAGAAAGAAGTTCTAAAATCAGGTCGTGGTTACTGTTTTAGTCGTTGGTATAATCACCGTAGTACTGGTAGCTTTCGTCCGACTGTCATGAGAGCACCCTTCACCGAGAATGTTCTCAACCGGAATTATACAAGAACAAAACCCTGTGGAAAGAGAGAAAAATGCAAACAATACTTTCGGGAATATTTCTAATAGAAAAAAATTGGAACTAAACTCTATAAACGTTCTGGCAAAGAACAAAACGGGAACAAAGTCTAAGAAACTTTCTGCTCCGAACTTTGCGCAAGAATGGAAACAAAATCTTTAGCGAAAATCCGAAAGACTTAGGACACGAACTTTTCTTGAATAGAAAAATACATTTTTCCGTAACTGGACAGTTCTGGTTTAGAATTAACAATCATTGTTCTCACTGAAACGATTTTTCATCCCAACACGCAGACGCCCCTCTCATTCTTAACGTTAAGTTCTCAACAGTTTTGTTCTCGTTTTGTTCTCTAGCAGACTTTTGTTCTTAATAACGATCCCAAACCTTTAGTTCTCATTTTGTTCCCGTTTAAACTGCTCTCAATACTTTTGGTCCCGTTTGGTTCTTTTGTGGGAACGTTCTTGACATAACATTTTGTTCTCGTACAGAACTAAACCAAAACCGGAACGCGTTCTCCTTCCCTGATAAAAAAAAAATACAGATATTTCCACAGAGCAAGCGTTACCTTTAATTATGAAAGCACTGCGCGTATTGTAGGTTTAAGTCGCAATTAACTGTAGATTTTGGATGCGCTCGTTTTCAGATTTTATTGCTGATGCTCCCTCTTCATAGGAAGGGATTACTTTCAACCGAAACTCTATGGATACCCACTAAAGTTACTTATGCATTTTATATGTAGGCATGTAGGCATGTATGAATGTATCTATGCACCTAAATGGATATGCAAACATTGCAAGCCTCATACATATACACATCAGGGTGGTCCTTAAAATCAAATGAACGATTTTTTTCAGTCTCACCCCCATCAACCGGTAATACCATAGTCGAAGATATCACATATAAATTTTGGTCCCGATTGGAGTCAGTTAAGGCGTGTCGCAAAGGGGTCAAAGGTAATTTAATTCCTAAAATCGATACTACTAAAGTCGAGGATATCACATTGAAATGTTGGTCCCGATTGGAGTCGGTTAAGACATCTTCATAGCGTAATGTGAACTTTGACCCCTATGAGACACGCCTTAACCGTCTCCAATCGGGACCAAAATTTATATGTGGTATCTACGACTATAGTAGCATCGACGTACGGGTTAAGGCATAGGAAATCTGGTGTAAAAATTTGCTTCCTACATTTAAGGACCACCCTAATGTACATACGCGTCGAAATATTCGTGCATAATCGGGTTTTCGGCGCTTGCTCACTACCATATCATACATACACGCAACAGAAAAAGCATCAGAACCGGAAAGAGCAAACTTGAACGCCCTAAGAATATGGTCATAACATCAGCCGTGATGGTTATGGTTATGGTGACGATGACGATGACGATGACTGAGTGGCTGATGGCTGATGACTGAGTGGCCAAGACCGAGCCGGTGACTGAGGCGGAGACGGAAACAGCAACGCTGCGTCGACAGTGGCAGTGGCAATGCGCCGTTGGCATTTGTTGTCCAACAAGAAATAGCTGCCAGACAGAAGACGTGCGACGGTGGGTCGTTGCCATAACCGAATCAGTGACTACGACGGTGGCGGCAACAAAATAAGCATAGCAATATACTAACATATGTGTATTTATGTATGTAGATAAGGTTTAAAAAAATAAAATTAAACAAAAAAAAGATTGTGCTCGTACGCGATTACCGGCATTGGCAAACGACGGTGGGAGAAACACTCGCTCGGTCTCCGGCACTCTGACACTGACAGTATTCGCACACTTGAATTAGCAAAACTCTGGGTAGCTCTCGGGACGCAAACATGGGCACAGCCAGCACGAATACACACAAATGGATACATACTATATACTCCATATGTAAATTGCATATAGTAGTAATATAAACGTACATATGTACATATCGTCGCCTCAGAAAACGGATGACGAATGTGCAAAATCACGATTTTGGGATTTTGATGCAGATTTACTAAGTTGGACATGCTCTTTCGATTTCTGCAATCCATTTTTTTATATCCATTAGTTTTTGAGATATTTCGTGCGCATTTTGTCGTATGTTACATAATATTAATGATTGGGTATGCCTTTTGTTGTATGTGCTGAAAATGCGTCACATACGACAAATTCCCATACAAACGTACCTTTTTTTTAATCATAAAACGTTTGTCGTATGTGGCACATACGACAAATTCCCATACAAATGTAATCTTTTTTTAATCATAAAACATTTGTCGTATGTATCGCAAAACTTTGAACTTACGACAATTGGATGGTCCTCTACTATAACGATACAATTAAAATTGAAAATTAACTAAGTAACTAATTTTAAAATTTTAAATTTTAGCTTGCACTGAGTCTCCAATGAAATGAAAGAGATAAAAATGTACAAAAGACTGAATTTAAGTATTGTTTTTTGTTTTTATATAAAGAAAACGTATGTTCGTAACATATTTACAGCATAAGAGATGTACGGATTTTTTTTATTAAATACATGATTATGTTTTTGTTATGTTTTTTCTACTAAGTAATCATTATTTAATAAATATGTCTGTTTTTTTCATCAAATTATACCAACGCCGTTGAAATAGATACTTTACTATTGTCGTATGTTCTGTGGACAAAACAAAGTGGTGAGTAAACGCTACTTACGACAAATGTATACGGAATGAAAAGTAAATTTTCTCATTAACGTTAAAAGATATTAAATGTAAAAATATGGGAAATCAAAACTAATAACACCAACTACGTCTCCTTCAAAAGTTACAAAAATCTACCGTACAGTTTCGGATTAATTCGACCTTAAACTTCAAAGTCAATTTTCCCAAAACCGTGTTTTGTAACATTCGACATCCGTTTTCTGAGACGACGATATGTTTGCATGGCTGTATATATATATTTGGATAATCAGTTTGCAAGTAAAGAAACCACGAAGCTTAATTTTGCAAAAGCGAACCGAATGAAACGTTGTGGCGAAAAGCTGGCACAGGCTGCTTTTGATTGAACAACGACACCGGGCAACACTCATTTGATCAGCCGCAGCCGGTCTGAACGGTTCGTCTTAAAAATAGTTGCTCTACGTTGATTTAGCACGCAGTGGTGTTCAACAAGAAAGAGAGAGGCTACCTGAAAATGAACAGAATAGACAAAGAATCAAACAATAAATCTCGCATACCAAAGCATAAAGAAATCGGAAGCAGGCAGATAGACAAATAGTCAGTGCGTCCGTACGTCCGTCCGTTGGACCGTCAGTTACATTTTTATTTGTATTTTGGCTGCATACGCTGATACTGCAACAGCTGATTTACACGCTGGCGAAATCGGACATTGTGTGCTGCGATAAAAAACATCATCCATTGGCCAGAGACACAACCAAGTACGTTGGTCACTTCGAATTCATGCATATTAAAGGCGTTGCTGCTCGCTATGGAAATTTTATTGGACAAAACTACATACACATGCCACTTATCGGATATTTTTCGGCAATACTACATAAATATTTAAATGTTGGAAAAAATTCTTTTGTTGCTGTGCGTACTTTATTTGTACAATTCTTATCGTCATCGTCATATGACGACGAACGGCATTGCGGCAAACGACAAACGGCCATTGTGCACTGCTGTGCGGTGCGGTGCGGTATTGTGCACATACTATATATTCTTCTCGTGCATAACTATGTGTGTACTAACTTATGTTCATATTGGTTCATATGTATATAGGTGGAGAAGTCAGTCTGAATGTGTCCGTCTTCCTGTGTAGTACATTTCTTTGTGACTGTAATAAGGCTCCTACAAATCGCAAACAAAAAATTTAAAAAAAACTTTAGTGGTGGTAGTGCGTGTGTACGTGAAGCCATGAAGAAAAGACCAATAAGATAGAAATGCGAAGACAAAATTCAATCGGAAGTGCACTTCGACCGGGAAAACTGTGCAATTGTGAAATTCTGCGAGGCCGGCCTCCAGCCTCGGATATAAATATGCAGTGGCACAAAGAGAAGTAGTGTTGCATTTAGTAGTTGGTTGACGTTGTGCTCTAGAGTAGGACATATACGGACTTTGCATTGCATTGTTGGTGGTGTCAATGGAAATTTTTCGATCGGAAAGCAACCAAAATATGAGTATTAGTGCAATTTTTTAATTTTTTTTGTTGGCTACATACTTGTGGAACAAATGAACTGCTTTAAGGCCACGTTATCTTTGGCCGAATATTATTCGTTTTTTTTTTACGTGTATATACATATGTACATATGTCTGAAGATAACTGTAAGCTTTCGCCGCAGTGATGATTTAATTAATAGTGACGCAAGTGTGCATAGAGCTGACGGGCACACAAAAGAAAGCCCACACCCGCTAAACTGCTACGTATTTGTGCGTACAAAATGCCAGCAAGCCAGCAAATGAAAGGAAACCGGTGCCACGGAGACAGAAAATAACGCGGCGCCGGCATATTCAAGAGTATAGTAGCAAAATTATCGTCGAAAAAACATGCAGCCGAGC